CAAATTCTCCAAAACAATAACTCAAGCAGGCAAAATTTCAGGTACAACCTTCGAGGACATCACATGTCTAGGTCAGCGGCAAGTCAGAAATCTAGCACTCAAAATTTGTACAGGTTCGAACCACTTTCTTCATCCCGAATATAAACTTCTTCCTTCAGGCCGCCGCTATCAAACTCCCCGCCTCAGGACAAAGAGAGCCACCGACTCATTTATCCCATACAGTATTGTTATTTTAAACAAACAGAAGTAGTTTTATTTATTCTTAGCATTCTACTGTGTTTTATGTATCTGTTCTGTATCCAGTGCTAGTCTTAAAGTGTTATACATTGTAGTTCATTTATTTATTTTCTTAATGTCCAGTTTTATCCTTCCCCTTTACATTCGTTTAATCTTTGAAACAACAACATTTGGTCATGTTATAACGTACTTTAAATCATTTTAACCACTGTTGATTGCTCACTGTGATCTGTGAGAGCTCCTCAGGTCGTGTGACTGATGTTGTTCGTGTTGTAATGTGTGTGTAATGGATATATGTATTTATTGTAATTCCAGCGTCCATAATGCAAGACAAATTCCCTTCTTGGGCAATAAAGTATTATTATTATTATATTATTATTATTAACTCTAAAACAACTTGAACAGTCTTCACCGAATTTGCTATACTGCCTCTATATATCATGTACATGTGCCTTTGGGGACTTGAGTTTCTTTCAATTTCATATTTTTCTGTTTTCATGGCAACAATTTGGACTTTGTCTTTTTGAAGGGTAAAGTTCGCTTCCAGAGCATAATTCTGAAACTAATTGACCCATCTTCACCAAATTTGCTGTACTGCCCCTCCATATCATGTAGATGTGCCTTTTGGGGGTTTGAGGGGTTTCTTTTAATTGTATTTTTTCTGTTTTCATGGCAACAATTTGGACTTTGTCATGCAGATTCATTCATGCATTTCGAAATAGAATCATTTAGAATTCTGAATGTTTTGTAAAATATAACTGTGGAGTTGTTGATTTGTTGATAAGCAATTAAGTTCAATTGAACATAAAACTATTAAATGAAGACTTGACAAACATATTAACATACTGTCAATAATATGTATTTTCATACTTAGAGATTTTGAAATTGAAGGAATCAAATGAATTGTATGAGGTCTCAATGTTGAATTGGGGGAAGGGGAAGACATCTGTTTTTACAAGTAAAAAACACTTTCTAGTTGTATTTTATTACTCTGTGGGGGTTTAAAACAAGGTGGTAGTAAAAGTTCTGTCAAACGAGAATTTTAATGTTTTATTCCTTGATTTTTGCAGTTGGTGATTTAAATACTCTGTCAATAGTGACCAGTGCTGACCATGCTCGTCCTGGAGTTGGCTTTTGTCACTTGCCAAATTTATAATAGGGAATCACAATAAATATGTTTGCTTCTTTAAAATTTACTGTAAGATGCATTGATTAGTATCAAAATATTGTCTGGTGTCAGATTTAACTTGATTTTGAGGGCTGGGTTCCTGGTTCATTTAGTTTTGATAAAAGAGTTTTATTCACCTGAAACTATGGCCATCCATGTGTTTCTCATATAGATGCTCATTCATCAGGAGATCTGGCATTCACAAAATATAGAATGAAAGTGTTTTTCACTGTTTGTGTGACTTATTTTATTAATTTTTTAAAATTTAGATCATTTGGCAATATAAATAAATTGATGATGTAGATTGAGTCACTTTGCTTTAGAAGCAATTTTTTTTGTAAATGTAGTTGTGAAACGGTTGGCCGCCATTACAAACACAGGCAATGGCAATAGGTTACGTGCCTAAAATATGGGAACATGTGGTAAAAGTTAAAATATGGAATTGCATCAGAGATCACTTTTGGCACTTTTATCTAGATCCAACAAATTTTGAGCAAGAGTTCAGGGATGGAAATAACCCATTGCCCGACGTCCGAGTCCAGTGTTTTTTCTGTCAGGCAAGCAAATTCGTATATCACGCTGTACCGGTGTCCGGTTGACTTTCCAATGTTAATTATGTTGTTTACTTAAAGAATCAACAAGGAAATCAGACGGTATAGTGGGAAAATTATCAGGGCAAGTGATTTTACATGTGCCACTGTACCAATTTACACTAGCAATTTTAAAGTTATTTCCACCCCTGGAGTTATAGACAACACTTTGAAATTTGTTCACAAAGATTGTGCTTGATGGTACCTAAAGAACTGTGACATGCACACACCAAAAACTAGAGCTGTTGGAATATTGCTCGACCAGAAAGGGAAAGGGACTTTTGCTGAGTTGAAGTCATACAGTTTTCTAACAAGGCAACACACGAGGCAGTCTCACTGGTTTCCTATTTCTCGTTTAGTTGGGTAATTCAGCGGCAGGGAATTGGCTGTGTGATGGTTATTATATCAGATCATCGATATACCTGAAGCGTAAGTTAAACCTCTTGAGCAAATAGCCTTCTTTTGACACTGCCAATCTAAGCAGCAACTCTCATTCATAAAGAAACAGATCTGCAAGGAGGAAAGCGCAGTTGGTACCCATGTTCATGCTCACTTCTTGTCTGAACGTCTAACTGAAATTTTACAAAGATTTTATAAATGAGGAACTTAAACTTTTCAAATATTGTTTTCACTGTAATGAAGGTGACATTTGCTTTCTTGCACATGTCTCCTTCTTCCAAATGGTCTTAGATCAAGCAAACTTACTTTTTCTGCAAATCATGACAAAACTATTAAAACATGTTTGTGATCTCTTCATAAAATTTTGTAGATCTTTCAAACAAGTTGGTACTTTTTAAACAATTACATATTATCATGTTTTGGAATTTCATGCTGACAGGGGCGGTGGGAGTAGCCCTGTGGGTGAAGCGCTCGTCATGCCGAAGACCTGGGTCTAAATATGATGTACTTTGTGTACATTTAGTTCCATTTTGCTCATAGTTGAGTTGGATGTACAAGTCATAGCACTGACAGTTGAAGACACCACAAAAATTTTAAATCTGCAAAAAAATATACATTGTGCACGCTCCACAGGACATATTGGAAGAAATGCATACCAAATAAATATGGAATTTGACCTTCGATCCCACAATCTACTTTCCTTGTGGCAACTACAAATTATCAACATTTAAAATCTGTCACGTCATTTCAAGTATGAGTTCAAGAACAGAAATGTATTTAAATGAAATATGTGATTTTCTTTGTAAAATGGTCCCACAGTTTAAAGTCTTTAACAGAAATGTACTTGAATAAAACGTAGGATTTTCTTTGTAAAATGGTCTGACAGGTTGGAAGTCTTCACAAGCAACATGTTTTTTTAACTGAACACAATGTACAACATAGCAAATATACTAAAGTCTGCACTATGATAAATTTAGAAAAAAGCTTCTTTCAGTTGTCCTTGGTACCTGGCTGATTTACAAACATCTACAGTCTGCTGATCATGCCTTTTAAACAAAAAACATTGGAAATTGATTTTTGTAAAATTGACAATTGACAATGAAATGGTTCCATTCCTTAGATAAATATTGATGTTTTTCTCAGCTTGATAAGAAATTAAAGATCACAAAATGATTCAGCTGCTTAGGATAATTTCAGTCCGAAATCAAGGATAGTTATAAACTTGCTTTGTCTCATCAGTTGTTTTTTTAAATTTGTCCAAATCTGTTTAAAATGAAAAAATATGTTTATTCTGATTAGTATTAGTTTTGGATAAAAATAAACAAGAAAATGTATTATTATTCTGTGACATATGTATTTTGAAAATAAGAACTTTAATAAAACACTTTTCTATCAAACTGTTCAATTGGAACCTAAGTAAAATGACTCCTGATTCAAACAGAAGCAGAAGAATATCCTAAATCTAACAATTCCTGAAAAGTAGGAAGTTTCAAGCTTGTGTGTGAGATTTTAAACATTCTTAAATCATAAAATATATTTTTAAAATATCGGTTAAATGGTTCCAGAGCCCAGAGTACAACTTGGCGGAGATCTATATCTTAGACTGTACTTGTTTATTTATGAGCAGAGCTGGAGAGCAACCATGGTGACAGTTCCCAATCAATATACCACCATTGACATTGAATGTATGCCAGCTTTCATGTGACAAGCACCTCGACAATCCTTCTAAATTACCAATCCTTGTGCATACTCCTGTTACCATGGGACTTAAACAAGAATATTTTTTCAATTAACGCCCTATGCTTGTTTATGTCTCCATATGCAACGTTAATTTCATCCAATGAACATCAGTTTCATCACATTTCGTTCTGCCAATCAGATTGTCTGCAATGATTGGGTGCTAATTGATGGTGAAGGTATTGAATTTCATGCCAGTTATTGCTTTACCCGCCAACATGATGACAGCATTGGATGTGCTGATGTTACTCATGGTTGGTGTACATTGTGGCAAAATTTGGTTGGGTAATACTGACTGCCGGACTTGTATTGTTCATTTCGGTGTTGACAGGAACGGACTATGTTAGTGTTTGTGGATGTGTTCTTGAACGTTGACAATCTCGCTTGTTGGATACTGTCAAGTACTTGTGTTCAGAGTATGTGCTACAAAACTGGAACACCTTCTTAAGATGGTGGATTGTCATAGGGATTTCAAAATGGAATATTTGAACTTTTTTGTTTAATTGTAACTTACATAATTTAACAACTTGTGTTTCACAATGTGTTAAGGTGTGATGTCTTTTTGTCAATTTTTCAGCTAGATTTATCAAAGTTTGATGATTTTCTGTTATATTTTAAAATGCTGATGATTTTCTTAATTTTGTTTGTTTGATTCTTATTTAGTTGATGTTGTTTATGTCATTGGAATATTTATTCATGCTACATTAAATATTGGAAAAGTAATAATATATTTTCAAAAGAATACTTTCAAAATATTACCAAGTATCAACTGAATGATGCGTGTTATTTCATTGCTTTCATCTGTATGATTTTTGCCAGTTTGTTTGTAAATAATCAGCCCAACTAACAGTATATTTTCTCTTTTCCAGATTTCAAAACTACAAGTGTTGGCAAGAGATTGTGAGAGAGGAATGGTGGAAGCAATGGTACATTGTTTTCAAGAACAGTTTCCTGACGCTCATTAAAGATGAAACAGATCAGACTGAAAACAATATCTTTGCGAGGACCGTAGCTACAAGCACAAAACAAAAGCCATGTCGTTTCTTCAGCTGAAGAAGTACATGTCCCGTAAGACCCGAGGGTACCGTCTTGTGTTTATCCTTGGCGTGTTCCTCATTGGCTATTTGTCAATGAACTATGTGTCCGTCCGGAATCCACAGTCTTTCTCAAAATATGATGAACCAATTCCTTACTCAGATACCAACCATCTTTTCATTCATCGACATCTGTTGTCGGATAACTCAACAACAGATGAAGGAATATACCCGCCTGCGGTCTTCACAGTGGAACAGATGCGTAATGGCGCCATCATCCTTCATGTGTTTGGCATGGTGTACATGTTTGTGGCTCTTGCAATTGTCTGTGATGAATTCTTTGTGCCTGCTTTGGGAGTCATTATAGAGAGGTACGACATCTCCGAAGATGTCGCAGGAGCTACATTTATGGCGGCAGGTGGAAGTGCTCCAGAATTTTTCACAAGCGTCATTGGTGTTTTTCTGGCAAAGAGTAACGTCGGTATTGGAACTATAGTGGGATCTGCTGTTTTTAATATTCTTTTTGTTATTGGGATGTGTGCAGTGTTTAGTAAACAACTGTTGACATTGACTTGGTGGCCTTTGTTTCGAGATGTCAGTTTCTATAGTATTGACCTTATACTGTTAATTGTATTTTTTTTGGACGACGTGATTGACTGGTGGGAGGCACTCATTTTGTTTCTTTTATACATTGCCTATGTGATGTTCATGAAATTCAACGAAAGGATTGAGCGATTTGTCAAAGGCTGTACAAAGAAGGCCTCTATGAACAAGGTGGCAAGCACAGACACTTTACTTAAACAGGTAAGTTCGATTCCGTTTTTGTTCTGAAGTCAGCCTGTTACCTGTAATCATCTTGGTTCTGGGTGTGCAAGGTTTGGGGTTAACAATCAAGGACCAGTTTTGCAGAGCTATTACAATAAATCATATGATTGTTGTAATGTAAGCAGCACAAAATTCAACGTGAGCACTTTTTTCAGTGCCAGATCTGAAATTGGCAAATCCTGTAAGTTAGATAATGTAATTCTCTCTGCAATCATCGTTTTGACATGATCTGAAAGTCGTGGGTTCACAGACATCAAGCCCACACATGGTTTCCCAGACACAAAATGTTGCTTTCAATATGTATACAATTTGTAAGTCGATGCAAATAATTTATTGACCAAAACTTTTGTTTCCAACAAGTTCAGCATTTATCAAGATACAGACAAACATGAAGAACACAGCAACAGTTACCAAGACCCCCTGATTTTCATCTCTGACTCAAAACCTTCACATGACAGTTTCTAAGACTCGTAGGGCAGCCGGCATTGGTAAACCCCTTCCAACATCAAAAGAACATTCATCACAATTTTTCAGCTGTACCAAAATACAAGATGTGTAAAAGAATGTGAAAATTGTGAAAGAACTGAAAAAACAACAGAGAGTGAATAGAGAAACTCCTTAAATAATTGTGAAACAGGAAGTAATGGAACGATTAAGAATTGCAGTATTTTTACGACAGTTTTTCAAAGGTAACATGTAAACAGAATCAGAGACACTGGTTGTGTAAAATTGAAATGAAATACTGGACCTATCATCGCTCAGATGTTAACGGTTTCAGAAAATAAGTAATGTTTCCAGGAGTATTGAAATCACAAAACACTTCGGTGAATCTGAATCACATCAATGTATTTCTCAATCAACACAACAATGGCCCAGCAGTATTTTAAAAATAGATAGATAAATAAATGAATGAATGAATGAATGAATGAATGAATGAATGAATGAATGAATGAATGAATGAATATATGAATGAATGAATATATGAATGAATGAATGTATAAATAAATAAATATATATATAAATGAATGAATGAATAAATAACAATAGTATATAAGACCAGGGGTAATAATTTAATACTATTCTAAATACTCAGACTAGATTGTGAATTTTAAATGCAGTCTGTTTGTGAGGCAAAACCAAGTTCCTCTTACACCAGCTGCACAAGAGATTTATATAAAGTGATATAATACTTCCTTGTGTCCAGTTTAGCAGTGAGGGAGCAGTGAGGGAGGCTTGTTGACTACAGGTTACTGACCCGTAACTGTCATCTGTGCTACAAAACAAGATCCCTCTTGATATTTGCCTACAAACTTCACAGAGATGGTGAACTTGTCTCCAACAGTACTGTGACTTGCTGTATCTCCATTATATAAAGTCGGACATCACTGGTAGTAACTGTTAGAAGTATGTTGTGTAGTGGTGGCCCGATTAATTGAAATAATCGAAAATTGGTCGTAGTGACTAAACGACCAAGCAATCGATCATAATTTCTCATAATCGAACAGAAACAATTGTGGAACACTTGTTTTCATTAACAATATTTTTCACGTGGTTGGTTTTGTCTGTTACATTTCGTAAGCACTACAAGCTCGTTTCAAGTCATGATTGAATTTATCTTAAAGATTCTAAGAAATCTATGTTCCATACTAGTCATCCTTCAAAGATGTGAAATTTTGCCCAAAAAACCCCAAAGAACTACATGTGTTTTTTCCTTATTTTTGTGTGCATTAACAAATTTCATAAATGACGCTAACCAATTATTTTCGATGATTGATCGGTAGTAATTAACCAATCAACAATTATGAGATTTTAACCACTTCCCAACACTAATGCTGTGGGCTTCTACGGTGGAAGTAATGTACATTTTAACATTTAATATTTATTTCTCTGCCAGCATGTGAACCTTTAAACACCAAAAATGATAAATGTTTTTTTAATGACCTGCTGCCACATATACCATCCTTTAAATAATTTTTCTGTATGATCAAAACACAAGTTAGGTCCTACCGATCTGATGTGAATCCAGCATCCAAGGTTGTTTCTAAAGATCGCTACTGTTTATATGAAGATAAGAGTGTATATCCCGTCATTACATGGGATCAATCTTCCCTTTGCGGAGACTACACAACACAAATCTTTGATGTAGTGGAAAGTATTGATTGTACTAATTGGTAAATGAACTTGGGTACCAACAACCATCAGTAGCCATTTAATGACAACAGCGGCTTTTACCATACCCTGTAGAGGTCACCTTCACAAGTGTTACCTGCGACTCTGACTTCCAGGTATTCAAGCAGGATAATGATATTCTCAATTTCCAGTAAATGGCATTGATTTTTTTAATATCAAGTCACCATGGCAACATATGTTTAAGTGGTGATATTCACTTTAGCTTTGGTACAGATGACATTTTGCCGTCATGATAAATTGGTTCACTGATATTGTGTGCACAGAATCAGCCATTGTTAGAATTGGGATTTTTTTAAACTGATCACAGTTTGAGGATACAAGACTTTGAATTAAGCTATACGTATTTGGTTTTGTTTCTGTTACTATAGCCAAATGGCTCGAAAGGTTGTGCTTGTTACAGGAAAGACAGTAAATGTACTGCTCTACCCTGACTTAGCATTTCTTGTTCCTGTGCTTCTGATCGTCAATGAACATTTTGAAAACACCATGTAGCAGTGTTGAGATTTGGTTCTGCAAAATGATTCCACTATGTGCAGTTCACAAACTTCTGACTGCGCTCTGATCTTTTTAACTTGATGACATCAAGTCTAAGAACTTTCCCACATTTGACAAACCCCCAATCCTGGCAACAAAGTAAATTGCCATCATTCTAGTGAAAAGATGGGGAAAAATGGAATGACAAATGAGGATTGTGTGTCTACAAGACAGTTCCAGGACTGATGCTATGACTTACTTATTGTTCTACTGTCCAAGCAAGTATAGTTCCAAGTTAAAGGGAAGTCTGGATATACATTCTTGAAGTGTGAAACAGTAGCATTGCAGAGATATTTATTTTGTCAAAACAATCCAACAGAAGTTCTGAAAACAATTAGGAAAGCCTTTTAAAAGATATCTTAAAATGTCCTTTTGGCAGTTTATTATCTCGGTTTGACGTCTTGATTTAGCAGTGACTTCAATCATTTGTAGCCATGGTTCTTCCCTGTCAAGATCAAATGTGAGAATTTTGAAAGTTTGTATGCACAAATTAAAGCAAAAAATTGTGAAATGCTCATAAAATTTACAAATAAATTTGGTAAAACAGATTTTTGTGTTTAAAAAATTTTGCTAGGTCACTTGAACTTTTATGACAATGAAAATGAAGACATTTACATGCTACTTTGAAGTGAGAAATGAGTTCAGTTTTGCAATTTCTGTTGTAATATTGAAACTTTAGAGATAACATTGTTAAATATAAATAAAAACAACAAAACCTTTCAACAACCACAAGAAATCTCTGTCAAGACCAGAGTCAAATAGTGATCATACCACTATTAAAAGGTGAAAAGGTAAGTGTATCCTGCCCTTCCTGATGCACTCATCATAAACACATGCAAAGGTTTGCCAATTTTTCACCTAAACATATTGGGAAGGTATGGTTCAAGTAAAATCAGACATCATCTGTGTAACCCAAAAATTCCCTACCCTAATTTAAGATTTTGCTGCAAACAGAAGTACACCATACTTTACATGTAGCCACATCATCATGATCATAATAATATCATTATGATCATAATAATATCATTATGATCATAATAATATCATTATGATCATAATCAGTTTATATATGTATGTTCATGAAACAATAAGTAGGTATATTAGAGAGTAATGATGATCTCTCTGTACTATACAACATTTTTGTCATTAAAAATAAAAAAAATGATTTCATGTATTATAACTATTGGGTAAATTAAATTAAATTAAATGACATTAATTAAAAATGACACTGGTCCAGCGCCCCTGGGTATACCTGTATTTTTCTAATTTCAAGTCATGCATTGCCTCACAATAGATCATCCCTGCTAATATGATATTGTTTGTCAACCATTCAGAATCTGGCACATATTCTCATCATAATTGTCAGTGGTGTCAATGACACACAAATTATTTCAATGTGAATAATAATAGATGCCTTCTCATGCTCTATTACATTGTCAAGCATTCATTATTACACGTAGTGCAGGGTAAAATATCCCCGTCCCTCAGGGACTTTCAGAAATTATGCATTAATCAGCACCTTATGTATACTTTTATTAGGTGAGTTAGTACATTTACTTCTATAGATTGCAGCCTCAATCTACTATCACGTCAATAAACTCCATTTTCTTGTTATTACACAGTCGTACCATGGGGCACAGGGTATCAGGGCATACCTGACGAGCTTCCACACAGGCATTAATGAGAAATGAAACACTACGATAGCAGCTCCCTTGTTTGATAGCAGCACTCAGGAGAACATTATCTGATAGTTGATCGAGTGGATACTAAATACTGATTAATGACAGAATGATTTTCTTTCTAACCTGCTCTGTTTTCCAGGTTTGTTGTCTGTATTCAGAGATAGAGTTGTAAAGGTTCACTTGGCTTCATCTCTTGAGTTTTGTCTAGTAGAAGTGTCAGATGAAAAAAGAATCTTGACATTTGTGAATTTAAGACAGATAATCACTAACAAGTAAGGTTAGAAATAATTATATATTCAATTGATGCATCATCATGATTTGTTGAGAGGCAACTAACTGTTTAATGTCTGTTTCTCATCTTTACCTGTAGGACAGTTTTTTCGAACACCTGGTGTCATGTTATATCATTTTCACCACTGTCTCGCCTTTTACACACAGTTCCACAAAGTGGCTGAGCGGGTTAGGTGGCTGACGTTGTGTGCTGGCGGTTAGGTGCCTTACTCTGAGGGTGTGGGTTTGAATCCCAAATGAAACTCAACCCATTAAAAGTACTAGAATCTGTACTTTACTGGC